AGACCCTTCCAGAGCTGAGATATCGAAATTCAAAATTTCGACCCGAAAAAAAAACGACAGTGTTACCCCTTTCGTTTTTTTTCATTTTTGGGCGAAAAATTAAGTTTCTCCAATCTTCTCAAAACTCTGGATTCTGATAGAGGGGCGCGAGACTTTGACCTGAGTGCAAAAATGGAGGCTCTAGACCCTTCCAGAGCTGAGATATCGAAATTCAAAATTTCGACCCGAAAAAAAAACGACAGTGTTACCCCTTTCGTTTTTTTTCATTTTTGGGCGAAAAATTAAGTTTCTCCAATCTTCTCAAAACTCTGGATTCTGATAGAGGGGCGCGAGACTTTGACCTGAGTGCAAAAATGGAGGCTCTAGACCCTTCCAGAGCTGAGATATCGAAATTCAAAATTTCGACCCGAAAAAAAAACGACAGTGTTACCCCTTTCGTTTTTTTTCATTTTTGGGCGAAAAATTAAGTTTCTCCAATCTTCTCAAAACTCTGGATTCTGATAGAGGGCGCGAGACTTTGACCTGAGTGCAAAAATGGAGGCTCTAGACCCTTCCAGAGCTGAGATATCGAAATTCAAAATTTCGACCCGAAAAAAAAAACGACAGTGTTACCCCTTTCGTTTTTGGGCAAAAAATTAAGTTTCTCCAATCTTCTCAAAACTCTGGATTCTGATAGAGGGCCGCGAGACTTTGACCTGAGTGCAAAAATGGAGGCTCTAGACCCTTCCAGAGCTGAGATATGGAAATTCAAAATTTCGACCCGAAAAAAAAACGACAGTGTTACCCCTTTCGTTTTTTTTCATTTTTGGGCGAAAAATTAAGTTTCTCCAATCTTCTCAAAACTCTGGATTCTGATAGAGGGCGCGAGACTTTGACCTGAGTGCAAAAATGGAGGCTCTAGACCCTTCCAGAGCTGAGATATCGAAATTCAAAATTTCGACCCGAAAAAAAAACGACAGTGTTACCCCTTTCGTTTTTTTTCATTTTTGGGCGAAAAATTAAGTTTCTCCAATCTTCTCAAAACTCTGGATTCTGATAGAGGGCTGTGAGACTTTGACCTGAGTGCAAAAATGGAGGCTCTAGACCCTTCCAGAGCTGAGATATCGAAATTCAAAATTTCGACCCGAAAAAAAAACGACAGTGTTACCCCTTTCGTTTTTTTTCATTTTCGGGCGAAAAATTAAGTTTCTCCAATCTTCTCAAAACTCTGGATTATGATAGAGGGCTGTGAGACTTTGACCTGAGTGCAAAAATGGAGGCTCTAGACCCTTCCAGAGCTGAGATATCGAAATTCAAAATTTCGACCCGAAAAAAAAAACGACAGTGTTACCCCTTTCGTTTTTTTCATTTTTGGGCGAAAAATTAAGTTTCTCCAATCTTCTCAAAACTCTGGATTATGATAGAGGGCTGTGAGACTTTGACCTGAGTGCAAAAATGGAGGCTCTAGACCCTTCCAGAGCTGAGATATCGAAATTCAAAATTTCGACCCGAAAAAAAAACGACAGTGTTACCCCTTTCGTTTTTTTTCATTTTGGGCGAAAAATTAAGTTTCTCCAATCTTCTCAAAACTCTGGATTATGATAGAGGGCTGTGAGACTTTGACCTGAGTGCAAAAATGGAGGCTCTAGACCCTTCCAGAGCTGAGATATCGAAATTCAAAATTTCGACCCGAAAAAAAAACGACAGTGTTACCCCTTTCGTTTTTTTTCATTTTGGGCGAAAAATTAAGTTTCTCCAATCTTCTCAAAACTCTGGATTCTGATAGAGGGCCGCGAGACTTTGACCTGAGTGCAAAAATGGAGGCTCTAGACCCTTCCAGAGCTGAGATATCGAAATTCAAAATTTCGACCCGAAAAAAAAACGACAGTGTTACCCCTTTCGTTTTTTTTCATTTTCGGGCGAAAAATTAAGTTTCTCCAATCTTCTCAAAACTCTGGATTATGATAGAGGGCTGTGAGACTTTGACCTGAGTGCAAAAATGGAGGCTCTAGACCCTTCCAGAGCTGAGATATCGAAATTCAAAATTTCGACCCGAAAAAAAAAACGACAGTGTTACCCCTTTCGTTTTTTTTCATTTTCAGGCGAAAAATTAAGTTTCTCCAATCTTCTCAAAACTCTGGATTGTGATAGAGGGCCGCGAGACTTTGACCTGAGTGCAAAAATGGAGGCTCTAGACCCTTCCAGAGCTGAGATATCAAAATTCAAAATTTCGACCCGAAAAAAAAACGACAGTGTTACCCCTTTCGTTTTTTTCGTTTTCGGGCGAAAAATTAAGTTTCTCCAATCTTCTCAAAACTCTGGATTATGATAGAGGGCTGTGAGACTTTGACCTGAGTGCAAAAATGGAGGCTCTAGACCCTTCCAGAGCTGAGATATCGAAATTCAAAATTTCGACCCGAAAAAAAAAACGACAGTGTTACCCCTTTCGTTTTTTTTTCATTTTTGGGCGAAAAATTAAGTTTCTCCAATCTTCTCAAAACTCTGGATTATGATAGAGGGCTGTGAGACTTTGACCTGAGTGCAAAAATGGAGGCTCTAGACCCTTCCAGAGCTGAGATATCGAAATTCAAAATTTCGACCCGAAAAAAAAAACGACAGTGTTACCCCTTTCGTTTTTTTTCATTTTCGGGCGAAAAATTAAGTTTCTCCAATCTTCTCAAAACTCTGGATTCTGATAGAGGGCCGCGAGACTTTGACCTGAGTGCAAAAATGGAGGCTCTAGACCCTTCCAGAGCTGAGATATCGAAATTCAAAATTTCGACCCGAAAAAAAAAACGACAGTGTTACCCCTTTCGTTTTTTTTCATTTTCAGGCGAAAAATTAAGTTTCTCCAATCTTCTCAAAACTCTGGATTCTGATAGAGGGCCGCTAAACTTTGACCTGATTGCAAAAATGGAGGCTCTAGACCCTTCCAGAGCTGAGATATCGAAATTCAAAATTTCGTCCCGAAAAAAAAACGACAGTGTTACCCCTTTCGTTTTTTTTTCATTTTCGGGCGAAAAATTAAGTTTCTCCAATCTTCTCAAAACTCTGGATTATGATAGAGGGCTGTGAGACTTTGACCTGAGTGCAAAAATGGAGGCTCTAGACCCTTCCAGAGCTGAGATATCGAAATTCAAAATTTCGACCCGAAAAAAAAAACGACAGTGTTACCCCTTTCGTTTTTTTTTTTTGGGCAAAAAATTAAGTTTTTCCAATCTTCTCCAAACTCTGGATTCTGATAGAGGGCCGCGAGACTTTGACCTGAGTGCAAAAATGGAGGCTCTAGACCCTTCCAGAGCCGAGATATTGAGATCCAACGTATACTGAGTCTAGAGCCTCCATTTTTGCACTCAGGTCTAAGTCTTTATATTTCCTGCTTTATATTTTGGGGTGAAGTGTGACCAGGATCTGGTTTTGTTGAGATTCACACACTGTCTGTGGTGTGTGTGTGTGTTTGTCCGTGTGCACCTGCTGTCTGGTCAAGTACACAGTAGTGCAGTGCCAGATCAGTGCTGTATGTAATAAGCCCAGCAGTGTTTATGTGGATGAGTGCGTGTTGGCGCTGATTGGGTCCTCTTCACATCCGTTCCTCCACACCTCCAGCACCTGACTGCCAACACTCACTTCAGTCCGTAATATGAAGACATGTTGTGATGGATCCGTGTCAATATCTTGATTCTGATAACACCTGGTTCGGCCTATACATCCTTTAACAAATCTCAGCTCTGGAAGGGTCTAGAGCCTCCATTTTTGCACTCAGGTCTAAGACTCATGGCCCTCTATCAGAATCCAGAGTTTCAAGAAGATCAGAGAAACTCAAAATTTCGACCAAAAAAAAAAAAACGACAGTGGTACCCCTTTCGGTTTTTTTGGGGGGTTGAGAAATTAAGTTTCTCCAATCTTCTCAAAACTCTGGATTCTGATAGAGGGCCATGAGACTTAGACTTGAGTGCAAAATGGAGGCTCTAGACCCTTCCAGAGCCGAGATATTGACATCCCACGTAGCATTTATGCCATTATAAATATCTCAATATCTCGGCTCTGGAAGGGTCTAGAGCCTCCATTTTTGCACTCAGGTCTAAGTCTCATGGCCCTCTATCAGAATCCAGAGTTTCAAGAAGATCAGAGAAACTCAAAATTTCGAGCAAAAAAAAAAAAAAAACGACGGTGGTACCCCTTTCGTTTTTTTTTTTCGGGGCGAAAAATTATGTTTCTCCAGTCTTCTCAAAACTATGAATTCTGATAGAGGGCCAAGACCCTTCCAGAGCCGAGATATTGACATCCCACGTAGCATTTTTGCCATTATAAATATCTCAATATCGAGAAATTAAGTTTCTGCAAACTTCTCAAAACTCTGGATTCTAATAGACGGCCATGAGACTTAGTCCAAACTCCATTCAGACACATTTAAAAAAATCCTGTTTTAAAACGTCCAACTCTACAGTCGATTTTTAACTTTAATTAATAAGTTCAATCTTTCTATTTTACATACAAACTATGAAATACTGGCAAAAATATATACAAAATGTAAATACACCTAGGAAAATGTTGCTTGCTTCTGTGTTTAGAGTGAAGTGCTGCCATGCTTCTCTTCAATGTAGAGTTTTTTTTAAATATAATTACTACATGCAGAGCTTTACTGGCATTTGATTGGATGACAAACGTCCAATCTCATGGACTGCAGGCTTTAAAGGTGAAATGCTCCAGAAGTTAAAAAAGGGGGCTGACATGTGATGTCCATTGAAATGGACACAGGGTTTGAATGGGTTAAGATGACTTGCATTATGTGATCTTTCCAAAAGGAAATCTTGAGGATTAGTGATAACCCTACCCTGCATTAACAATGTGACAGCCTGAATAGGTCAGAGCAGTAATTACAATCCAAATGCCTTTGATATGCTCTCCAAATGCGATTGCTATTATGACTCAGTAGTGTATTATCAGTTCTGCTGTACAAAATAGATGTCAGACTGACACATCAGAGGTCCACTTGCTTTTGTTTAGCTGATTTCATAACGCTGGAGGATTACCTAAATGCTCATGTAAGGGTTCCATTGAATGTTTGACGTGCTTGATCATTTATTCAATTGTTGTATGACATTTTACATTTGTTTATCTCCTAGCTTCCATAGTGACAGTGATACGACTGGTAAATAATGCAGTGGACACCATTGAAAATGAAGGTATGTCTCAATTTTCATAATACTGAATGAATGAATGAACTCAGTGCTTAGCATCTACGTCACAGCTCTCAGCCCGCCCTCCGTCTGTTTATTGGCCGGCTGTTTTCAGGCCGGAGGAAAACTGAGAGATGTCGATGTCTCAGACTGAGTACAGAAGCGAACTGTAATAGAGCGGAAGTATGAAGACCGACGCAGTCAGGCTACTTTATTTAGCCCTAAATTAAGAACAAATAAGAACTTTGCCATGAGTATGGAGGCCTTCGATTTCCCTAACCTAAAATACAATCTTAAACTCGGCACTTAGCGTCTACGTCACAACTCTCAGCCTGCACTCTGTTCGTTGATTGGCCGGCTGTTTTCAGGCCAAAAGAAAACTGAGAGATAGGTCGCTATCTCTGATTGAGTACAGAAGCGAACTGAAATTGAGCGGAAGTACGAAGTCTGATGTAGTCAGGCTACGGGAACTCGCAAGCTCTTTTAAAAACCATGTAATGGTACACAGACGTCACTATTCATTTACCTCGGTACCTCGGTTTTCGATATGAATTTGGTACAACAGGAAAAAGCAACAAATCCCCAGTGCTAGGTTTCTTCTCATTTATTTTGAACTGACAGTAACTTGCAAATTACAGTTTGTTCCCCCTAGCAGCATTGAGTTCCTTAGATGGAACATTACACCGTCCTTTAGTGTATTACGCACAAAGCCAGGACACAGATATTTCATCACTGAACTGTAGTGAGACACCCACGACACAAATCACCACAATGCCAAATAATTTTGTTTCATTATAACAGCAGAAACAACTTAAAACTATACGGTTCGGAACGGAGACATGTACCATTACACCCCTACTAGTTATCTATTGCTAAAATCAGATTAGGTAACATGGTAACATGCTTAATGTGTTTTCCTCTTCTCCTAACAGTTGCAGTTCTGGGAGACAATACTACCTGTGAGTCATCTTTATGTTTGCCTTTATTGTTCCATTTTACTTTACTAATATCTGTTCCTTTGTTTCACATGGTCAAGCATATTTATAAACCTTCACATGCACCTCAGATTAAAACATTCCATCTTCAAATATTTTCATCAATTTTTATTATTATTATTTGGCTTTTTGTTGTTTATTTGTTTTCATCTCATAACTCATTAAAACACATTTATGTCTTTTCACAGCAAGACCACACCTCCACTGTGAGGATGAGATATGCCTGGAATTCGTCAAAGAGTGTTTTATGAATTGTAAGAGATCACCTCTGCGTTTACTGTACTAAAGAAGACAGCTCTTATCGAAAATGCATCTAGTGTATAAATATAATCAAGATCCCATGACATGAACTCAATTAGCATTTTTTTCATCAAAAATTTTAGGAAAACGAAGGGGGATATGACTCACAAAATTTTCATATACATACTTTTTTATACTGTGTGTGTGTCAATGTTCTGCTTGTGTATATTTACTGTCCTCTGAAAATAACTCGACATACAGCCATTACTGTCAAAAAATAAATAAAAAATAGCTGGCAACAAAAGTGAGTACACCCTAAGTGATAATAGCTGTACCCTGTTTAACCATGGAAAGTCCTATTTATCATGTTCATGTTTTCGTGAGCATGACAGGACCATAAAAATTGTTGTATCTTGTAATAGAGCAGTTCAAATTTGTGCTTTGAGGTCAATTCTCTCATACTGATCACTGGATGTTCAACATGGCACCTCATGGCAAATAACTCTCTAAGGATTTGAGAATTAGAATTGTTGCTCTCTACAAAGGTGACCTAGGCTAAACTAAGTTACAGTGCAGGCTTGAGTTACTTGTTGTGCGTCCTCAATTGGAAGGTGGAAAAGCGCCATGTGTCTAACAGCCAGTAGCAGACTGTGATGTCATTATGGAGGAGTGGAAGAGGATCCCAGCAACAACCTGTGCAGCTCTGCTGAATTACATGCCTATGTGGATTAAGACAGTTCTAGATATCAATGGTGCTCACACTAAATATTGACACTTTGGACACCGTTTTGACATTAGGGGTACTCACTTGTGTTGCCAGCTATTGACATTATTGACATTAATGGTTGTATGTCGAGTTATTTTCAGAGGACAGTAAATATACACTGCTATAAGCATCACATTGACTACTCTAAAATATATACACGTTTCATTTCTATAGGATTGTCCCTAGCCTTTATTCTATCTCATACTATTACTTTTTTAAATAACTGTTTTCAATTTTAAACTGTTTTAAAATGTCATTTATTCCTGTGGTGGCAAAGCTAAATTTTACTCCAGTCTAACCCCAAACTTTTGAACAGTAGAGTAGATTATTATTATTTTTAGTAGTATCTAATAATGAATTGTTGGTTGTTATTATTAATATTGAAGACTTGTGTAAAGAATGCAAAATGTGCAACATTCATAAAGTTACATCTAATGAAATGTGCATAATTTTCCAGCCTACCAATGGCAAACGACAGAGTGGCTCGACACGTGTCTCCCAGGCTTGGAATCACCGCCTCGAGACCAGACCCCTACACCACCACCCCCACCCCTTCCTGCTCCCCCACCTCCCCGGACCTCCCCACGGTTATGTGGCACTCCTACCCGCCTGGGCGGCAGCTTTCGGTTGGACGGTAGCACCCTATCGCTGCAAACTGGCTACCCGTTACGACGCTACCAGGGCCAGAGAGATTTCCGCTCTTCTCTAACCCTGGATGACAACAACTCACCTGTTTATGAAGAATACCGCGGCCCGAATCACTATGACATCACCTCTGCTGTTCACCCGCTAGGTTTTAGCGAGGGCCGATCCACACCTGACCACCATCACTCCAGCCAATACCTGCTCTCTTACCCTCCTCTACTAGCCTGGGAGGAACGTCCGCATGTCTGGGAGGACACACACCCCTTCGGAAGCCAGCAGGAGATCGAAAGAACGGACAGAATTTCACTCCGGGCCCAACGTTTTCGTAGTCAGAGCCCAAAGACATCTAGGTCCGGCATGAGAGAGTATTACTGACCATTGACAAACAAGTCCTTAATTAATCTGGATGCTTGTGTTCATGCAATTGAGGACTCGTTCTGAAGATGTCAGCTGATCTCTTTGGAATCGAAACATTTGGACTCTCACTGCCTCACTCATACTGTACAATAGTGACCATTCTTCAAGGACCTTATTAAAGGGTTAGTTCACCCAAAAATGAGAATTCTGTCATCATGTACTCGCCCTCACGTTGTTCCAAACCTGTATGACTTTCTTCTAAGGAACAGATTTTTTTAAAGATGTTTCAACTGCTGTATTGTATTTGGATCTTGTTTTGTGTTCCTCTGAAGAAAGCCAGTCATAGAATGACGTGAAGGTGAGTAAATTGTCATTTTTGGGGTGAACGATCACTTTAACTAGGTGTGTGAGAGAACATGCATCATTTTTACCATCTACTTTCTCATCGGCGCATCTGAGAAGCAGAGTGAAACTATGATTGTGTAGGTGCTATTGTGTTTATTGATCAACCACTGATGTTTTTGATAGATTCCATGCAGTGTTTCTCAACCTGGGGTCCAACAAACTCTGTGCTCCGCATAAGGATGGCCAGATCTTCTAAGTAGATATCCAAGAATATCCTTGGACCGGCAATGTTTTGCTATCAAAACAGTCTGATGGAGAAAGGAAACCTGTTTTATTCTTTGGACTGCAAAAGCCGTGAAGAAAAACAAGTCAGTTTAATTAAATTTTTGTCGACGCTTCAAGGTTTGTAAGGATCTAGTAATTTGTGCATATTCCAGGACGGAGAGCTAAATGAAGAGCTGTGTGCATGTGCTCTCTTTATGTCTCGTCAGTAATGCATACATGACAACTACATATTAATCACTCATCACACATCTGGTGTTTCACGTTTTTTTGCTGTTTGTGCTGCTGTTTTTGTGATTTTTATTTCGTTTAGGAACACAAAACTGTCATGCTGATATGCTTAACATCTGTGTTTATTGATTAATGCCTATAGTATGAAGCATACAGACTTTATGAACAAGAAAAGGTTGCATTTATAAAGCGACTCTCTCATCAAGGTGACTTTAATTTAATTTACTTATTTTTTATTGTTTAGTCTACCTGGCTACACATGGGAAGGTTTTTTTTTTTTTTCACCCAATGCCTCGTATCTCATTCCCAGTAGCAAATGCCCATATAATATATGCAGTATAAAAATCAAACTGGGAATCTAGGCGCAAGATTTTTCTTGGTCCATGACAAAAAAAAAATATTGTTTGGTTTGTTCTTGAAAATGTTTTTATTTCGAATACCTCATTTTAGTGATTACAAATAGACTTATGGAATAATAATTATTAATATTATTATTGTTGTTGTTGTTTTATTGCACCTTTGTAGAGTCCAGGGTCATTTCACAAAGCATTATGTTAATAATGTTTTATCTTAGCTATTTTATTTGTTTTATATTAAGTTTGTATCTGTAAAGAAGATATTTAAACCAGAGAATATTTGATTAAACCAATAAATCAGATTATTTAAATGGTTTTCAGGATGAACCTATGGTCAGAGGGTTTTGATGGTCTGTATTGACTTCATACAGTACATGTTGATGTTGTCTATTTAATGTGTAAAACTCATCTTGTATGAATAAAACCCTATACATTGTCCAGTGTAAAATAAAATAAAAGAACAACTACCTTATGCATCATCTATAGATTGATTTAACATAGATTGCTGGATATGTCGCAATAGTAAAGCAGTTTGAGCACAAATGCACATCATATAATCTTTTTAGAGAAATACGAATAAATCTTGTTTATGTAATTAAGAGAAGCTTCTCTTCCCTGACAATTTTGAACTCCCATTTCCTTTATCCAAATCTATGTGATTTACAAATTATGACAATTTCTACTCCTGCTCAAAGTTTGATTGGCTTTTAAATGAGCACTTGAGATTGAAGTTATCATATGCACACATAATGAACTAAAACAAACCTTTGCACAAGCCAATCTTTCCTGTGTTTGACAGAAAGCCACAGACTCTTTTTTTTTTTTTTTTTTTTTTTTTTTGTAGTTGCACCATTGCTGTAACATCAACAATTGCACAATGGGACACTCTTTTTGAATGGAAACAATTTAAGACACTGTAAAATTTCAAAGTGCATTATTTCTCCTTTTTTAGAAACAACTATACAGAAGACAACACAATCCGACTGCACGATCCAAAGCTTGTTTACGGGTAAGATTCCAGGAATCCAGCTTATATGATCGAAACATAATGACGCTTTTATCTCTGGGCCTTTTGTCTGTTGTGCAGGGATATACGCCGGATTCATCAGAGAGGTGGTCTTGTAAACATCCCGCGGTTCTGTGCTTTGTGCTCTGGGTGTATTTCTCCTTTCAGTGTGTGCTTCAAATGTGCAGTGAAAATTACAGTTATGTACTTTGTTAATGACTTTGGCTCTAAGTCAGTTGAATGGATGAGGGGAGGTTAGAAAAATGGGTCAAATGTCCAGTTGAATGTGCATTTCCTCAATGGTGCTTTCAACACACTCTACTATTTTACATTTTTGGTCGGTGAAGTAAAGAAGTAAAGAACACAGTAAAGAACTTACCTGAATCAGTAGAAAGGAGCAACAACTGGCTGTGGTTGAGACGGACCTCAGAAGCAGGAGGGATGTAAAGGTCAGTAAGCTGGGCTGAGTTGAGTAGGGGATGGAGGGCGTGACTTTGGGACGCCAGAGTCACTGTTGAGCCCTCCTGAGGTGTTGTGGGCCAGTCGGCGAAACACTGAGGATGGAAGATGGCCACTTGATGACCCTAGAGATGTCCCCTACTCGGCTCAATCCAGACGGTTGTCGTGGTGGTCCACTAGGGAGACCACACTGTAGTTGCAGCCGTCGTGTGAGCTGATCTGCCAAGTACACTGCAGCTGTTAACGCCAGACAGAAGGAGATTCACACCACCATTTGGAAGGAAGAGTAAATGGACAGGGAAGCTTACAGTAGTTTACAGTACGTCTTAGTTTGTGCTCATCTTGGCAAAAGCCTAGAACGAATCAGCATGAAGTTGTGACATCCACTCGTGTGTGATGGAAATCATAATCATCTCATTCACCTTTATTTAAGATCATATTTTGCTATCATTAAGTTCAGTTTTACATTCACAGCACTTAAATACATTCTTGTATTTTTTAATAAAGCAGCTGTCACTTTTGAAAAAAGGCTTGATATTTGTTCTGAAATCAGAATTATCAACAGTCTGTCACAGTCTTCGTCTGCACCATTCTGTCTTCGTCATCTTCACTACACTTCCCAGCATCCTCTTGTCTCCACACCTGAACTCACTCCCTCAATCATCCACCTGTTCATCTGTCACCTGTCGTCACCTTGTTAGTGTTCATTTTGTATCTGTATTTAGTTCTCTCTGTTTCAGTTCTTGATTATGTTTCATGGATAGTGTGTGTAATCTTCTGCCAGTCTTCCTTGTACCTGTTTGGAGTTTTTGAGTAAATGTTTTGTATTGGAGCTTTGCATCAGCCTCAGCCTGTCTTCATTCCACACTACTCTGTGACAGAAGAACTGATCAAACATGGATTTCCCTGCAATAAGACTTGCCTTGAGCAGGGAAACAGCTCTCTTGAGGTTTTGTGGAGTGGGTGCTGGTATCCTGCGGATCATCCTTCACTGTTGACGACGCCAGCCCCACTCCAACGCCAGAGACCGCCCAGCCAGAGTCTCGTCCCGCTGAGACCGCCCAGCCAGAGTCTTCACCGCCGTGGCCGCCTGAAGGGTCTTCACCATCCTGGCAACGCCCTCAGCCTGCTCCGCCATGTCCACGTCCTGCTCCACCCTGGCCATGCCCTCAGCCTGCTCCGTCACATCCACGTCCTGCTCTGCCCTGGTCACGCCCTCAGCCTGCTCCGCCACGCTCACGTCCCTACTACCATCAAGACTCCGATGTTCTGTACTTGTCTTGACATGGCTGATGTGTGCTTCCTCTTTCTAAAAAAACAACAACAACATGCATTTCATTACCAAACATTACTTAGCCAATTTAGTTTTTATTTACCTATTCTACCTCCCATGTGTCATTTTTGACAGTAGCAGATTCACCCACCACCGACAGATATGGGCCATATCATTCTGAAAAGCAAAAGAAATTTGGAAATGGAAATAAAAATTCACACATACACACTCTGGGGAAATCAGAAAGTTAATTTACATATTGTAAAGAGGGGTATTAAACATCGCTTTGGCAATCACAAGTATAGATCAAATTATTTACTTGTCAATGCCTGAAAAAGAAAATCTATTTTCATCGGGATCAGCCGGAAAGTCTTTTGATGACAATTATGGATGTTGGGTTATCCTTAAAATAAATGCTGTGGGGAAACAAAAAACACCGTAATTACTTACCATTAGCATGAATACTCCAGAGTCCACATATCTAAGATTTTATATCTAAGAACATAAGATTTCGGGAAATAATTGGCTTCTTACCTGCCATAATTGTTTGGCAGTTACACAAGAGGTGTAGAAGGGTGTACAGATTTTTGGCTGAACCCCTACTGTATTTTTCCCTGAATTTCCACAGCTGAAAAACATGCAAGTTTCACATTTGAGGGAATTAATCATAGTTATTCAGATTTTTTTCCCCCCTTCTTTAAATTAAATTTAATTGTTCTTTGAATTTTAAATAATAGAACATTTCTCAGTGATCGTCAATAAAACAAAATTCCATTTTTCTCAGTTTAATGAAAACCAATAGGTCGTTATGGCAGAGGTGATTGCGTGTATAGATCAACATCCGGGTATCTCTCCACTGGAACGTGATAACGCAAACGTGTAAGTTTCACGTTTGAGGGGGTTAAACCGTGACATCTATACGTTTTCCAAAGTGGACCAACGTGATTATTTCACGTCTTGTCGTGATACTGGGTTGGTGAGTGAAGCAATTTCACTGATTTCCAAAATGATGCCTGACATTCCACCACAGAAGTACCACCCCCCACCCCCCAAAAAAAAAAACAGAAGTAGATCTGCAAGGTCAAACCGCCATAATCTCACAGTCGACTTCCACTGAATCAAACGTGCGATGCTGAATGCAAGGAGGATCATTTAAGAGGAAACGAAACTAGTCGTAATCCCATGTATTAATACTGGCGTTTACATCTAAAAGTATACTGAACCATGGGGAATCCACACTCCGTGAGCACCATTTCCTTTGACTTTTAAAACAAGTGAGAGCCAGCCGCTCGAATGACAGAAAGACGGCTGGTTATATAAGGGGGTGGGGGAGAGATACCGGATTATCGTTCCCCTGTTTCTGCTCGGAGACATGAGAGAGTTAGGGGTGATTATACCCACACAGTCAACTGAATAATACCCAGATTAGACACACTAACCAGGCCTCATCTCCACGCAAACCATCTGCCTTTGCCTCCCGACAGACACACACACACTCGCGCTTTAGCGCCCTGGATGTTAAACACACCACTTTGGAACAGATGCCAGTATACGGCACAAGCTTATAAATCCACGCGCCAGGAAAAGAGACATACAGACAACAGAGCCATGTTTACAGAGCTCACAGTTGTGCTAAATTCTCTCTTTTTGTCTTTTGCTGATGCACATAGAAAAGATTTCTCTGACAGTTTAAGTAGGAAAATTGTCAGTTTTATGAGTGGATAATTGGGAAAAGTTTCCTCTACCCTACATTTCAAAACTTAAGAAACTAAAAAACCCCTGTAGTCAATAATTTCACCTTAAAAATCTTTATGCCTTAAAAATAGTTTGAATGTATTGTTGCTTCATTTAGTATACATTGATACATTGAGTCCCCGCCTCCACTCAATCACACGAGCACAGACCTATACTTGGTCAGTTGTACTGTATAGTAAACACTGCACAATGCCAAGAGGAAATACTGCTTTAATTCAGTATATATGTTTGAACCAGAAACTAATTCAAAAGAAGAAGAAGTGGAAGAGTGATACAATGCCAGATACATAAGCAATGGATTTGATTGGCCTCTTGCTTGGCTACATTATCAAACAGTTAATAATGTTCAAAGTTTTATTGCCATTTGCACGTTTCAGTACAGTTTCAGTGCATTGGATTTATTAATAATGTGTTGCTAATGTTACACAAACCATGTTCCTGTACGCCATCTCAGAGTCAGACAGCTGCCTTCTAAAAAGCAGCATCATTAGATATGCTAAAGGCATATAGTTTGCATAACATTGTAATATACATCATATACATAATTAACATGCTATATTGCTAGATGTACACAATTTTTCATATCAACCAACCCGATCTCACGGGAATTCGTACGAATTTTACGAGGTGGCTAATTCGTAACAATTTGTACGACCTCACTCGTACGAATTAGTACGATTTAGCTAAATCGTACATATTTTACGAATTAGCCAATTCGTATGAATTCGTACGAATGACCTACCCCTGACCCCGCCCCTAAACAGAACCGTCACGTGGGTTTAGACAAATCGTACAAATTTGTACGAGTGAGGTCGTATGAATTAGTACGAATTAGCCACTTTTGAATCACTCGTACGAATTCGTACGAATTGGTCGTGAGATAGTTTAAGGGGGCCCTAAAAAGGCGAATATTGACGTATGGTCAAAAGACGTCCCAAAACGTCAGTTATATGACGTCTTGGGATGAGACCGGG